CCAGTTATTTAAACGGAGTTTAGCCAGTGTTTGACAAAACTGCGCTCTAAGCGATTTTCAGTTGCGGAGCGCTTTTATGCTAACACCATGTTTCGTGAACAGTTTCAAGAAAGCAAATGGCGTAGACTAGAAAAGCATTTGTCTTTTTAAAATAACCCACTAAGGAAGAGATCTTGAGTTCCAAAGACTTCCTAAGCCACGGTGTAAGTTAGAGTTCATCATAATAACCGACCGATTTTGTTTACATCAACTTCATCAGCATGCTAACTCACGTAGAAAACGTCGTTAATAAGAATTGAATTCAAAAGTTGTCTCATCTCTTGCGTCTTTTCAGTTATAGATCAAACAAGACATCAAAATGTGGTCAGACAGTATGCGGGTCTATGTGACACACTCGCCTACCGCGCCCATATGCCCCAAGTTTGTTATTTTTGAAGTCGTCTGAAGGCGAGAAAAGGCGTTTTTGAGATCGACCGACGGCAACTGGATGTGTACCTTCTTGCTTTCTTGCCCAGCGGTTTTGCCCATATTTTTAAACAAATCGTCATAAGAATAGAGACACTTGGCAGTACAAATTTGTTCGCGTTAGGGTATAGGGAAAAGCTCTCACCTAGCCCCGCTGGGATTGACGTGCGTCGAAAACACGCCTGATGTAGTTGCTGGTAGCCGATCTTCGGCCATTTTTCCTTTTGTCTAACCCACTGGAGTTAAGAATAGACTTGAATTTTCGCGCAGGCGACTGAAAAGGTCCCGGATGTATGTTTTCTCATTCTGGGTGATGGGTTGTTAGCGTCGCTCAAAAACGCGTTTGCTTGTAATCTTGCTAAAAGTCATTGTACCGTCGGCCAGGAGGAGACTGGCACGGAAATTCGATGAAGGGGAAAGAGAGAAGAAACATTTATTTCCCATCTTCCTCCGTGCATATGTCCTTTGCGCTTCCGTCGTTAATATTAAATAAGAGAAAGAGACAAGCAAGGGACCGACGGCAACTGGATGTGTACCTTTTTGCTTTGTTGTCCAGCGGTTTTGCTCATATTTTTAGACAAATCGTCATGAGATTAGAGACACTTAGCAGTAAAAATTTGTTCGCGTTAACGTATAGGGAAAAGGCCCGGCACCTAGCCCCGCTGGGTTGACGTGCGTTGCTAACACGCCTGATGTAGGTGCTAGTAGCCGATCTTCGGCCGTTTTCCCTTTTGTCTGACCGACAAAAGGCGATAGGTTGATGCGTGTCGCTCAAAAACGCGTTTTCCTTAGCTGTCATAATGCGTGGAAAAATGTGGTCTTGTTAAAGATGAGTCATTGCACCATCGACCTGGAGGAGACTGGCACGGAAATTCGATGAAGGGGAAAGAGAGAGGAAATATTTATTTCCCATCTTTCCTCGTGCGTATATCCTATGCGCTCCCGTCGTTAATGTTTAAGAAACGGTCCAGATAAGAACGATAGCAACAACGGCAACGAACATGTCAGAATGCAAAAAAGGTGCTAACGTTTCTATTGTCTGTACTTACTTCCGATTGGCTTAAACAGCAAAAGTTAACAAAACTTCATAAAGCGGTACATATATTCATCCTTACTTTCCAACCATCTTCCGTATAACAAAATCTGGTCTCAGTTTGAATAACAAAGAAATCCTATGTGGGGAACACGTAAAACTGTAAACTTTTCTTGGCTATTGTTTTCAACTCTTGTGATTGGTCAAAATCTTTTAACACAAAAAAACACTCTTTCAAAGTGGAGTGTAAATGCATTTTATTGCGTAAACGGCCTTCATGTAGGCTTATGCATTCTCTGTGTAAAAATGAAAACATTCCTATGTGGGGAAAGCACGGTTGCCGCATAACAAAAGAAATTGCTATCCACCTTACCCGGATCATCACTTAATAAAAGAGAGAGAGACAAGCGAGGCGACTGGGGAGTAATCATTCCCTCCACCAGATTCTACATCTAGCGTTCCATCAGTCCCCCGACTAACTATTTAATTGAGGCGTTGAAAAACACAAGCAAACGGAGCTGTTAAGTCTTGAATCCCCAAGAGTTTGCTTGGCGTTTATGCCCCGGCCGAATAGTCACAACATTTGTTCTGAGGTTGTTTAGAGCCCATGTTGTTGTTGTGCGCGGTCATGCCCTCACAAAAATAGCGGTTATTTTGAATCATCGCGTCAATTTTACGACGTATGACTTTCGTCTTAGATGTCGTTCGTCATTAAATGGAAGCATGGTAAGGATGTACAAAATGACCACTTAATTTAATAAAGTTCTCATTTTTTCGCAAAATATTGAGCTTGTTTCCGTTGAAAACGCTTTGCGCCGGAGTAAATTTTGCTGACGAACGGTATCACCTGTTTAAGTTCTTAAACACCTCTAACTTTTTTATTAAACTTACAAAACAGTTAGTAAATCAACAGTGCATTGGTACTTATATGTTGTATCCTTCCAGTGAAATAAAAGTAGCAACTCTAGCTTTGAATTCAGTTTTGAAAGCAAGGACCAACGTTACAAAATAGAAGGAGTGGATCCTAATAGAGGATCTAATCAGCTATAAATTAAAATATCTGAACAACGGAAAGAAGCAAGGCTGATTTCAAAGTTGCAATACTTTGCTTAGGTTTCCAAATTTTTCTCGTTTGACCGCAGTGGAGGCTTGTCCACAGTGGACCCCTCCCCGTCATTCATACGCGGTCGCGAATCGGCCGTGGGAGATTGGCTCGGGAACTCGACAAAAGATAATGCCAAAGGTCATTGTCTAATTGATTAGGTCATGGTCTAATCGTCTCCCCACTTCTTCCGTCCCAGCTCTCCCACGCGTATCTCCTGCGCGCTTCTCTCTTTATTATTTAAACTCTCTCACAGGGAGCTGGGGAGAGACTGGCGAGACGACTGGGAACGGAGGAATCTACCAGATTTTACATCCAGCGTTCCATCCCATCATTCCTCCTGTTAACAAAAGAGAATGAGCTGATTCGGTCCTTGCTGTTAATTATTTCACTGAGGCGGAGGGGAACACTAACGACAAGTCCTGACAGGATCAGGTTAAAATTGCAGCTGGTCATGTTTTGTTGTTATTATGTGACTCATTACTGGAAAGTGAAAGTCACATTGTCCAACTGACGAACAGTTACGGTGTTTAGATTTTCTATTTTGTAGACTTTCAGATATTTCGAGCAACAGCAATTTGCCGTCTGTCTTCACTAAATAAATAACCCTGTTCACTAAGTAGCCTCTTCTCTTGAACAAAGTTATTTGATGAGCTCTTTAGCTCAGAAAACAGCTAACCTACCTTATTTATAACAGACCTCTAGTCAGAGGGGTAAAATTCTAATAGAAATAAGCTAACAAATTACACAAAGACGCTGTAACAATTGATAGGTAGGCTCATTTCTAAGAAAACCAGAATGACATATCTGGAAAGAGTTTAGAATTTCCCGACATTCTAAAGATGTCAAGTCCGTTTCATAAGTGAACCGGGTCCCTAACGCTGGAAGAAAGAACCCAACCGCGTCCCCAGGGCGCTTTTCCCTAGCTTTCCCTGGCGCCCCACCTCCAAAGCCAGGGAAAAGCGCCCTGGGGACGAGGTTGAAGAGAACCCACTCAGATAAATCGGTACTTCTAAATTCTAGTGAGCACCCACCCATTCAATGGTGTGTCAGTTTAAAAAAAAAGATCAGCCCCAGCAGGTATGACAGGGAAGGGCAGAGGATTGGAAAACGCCTGATTCAAAACGGGAGAGTACAATTCCGTACATCGCCTGAGTTATTAAGTCTTATCAGTCACTAATGGGGGTCTTTCGACATTAATATTAAAATTCAGCACGATAGCGAGTCTTGGAGGATACAAACCTGTTTATTCATTTTCTTTGTTAGTGTCCTCTAAAACTCGCCATCATGCTGAATTGTTTTTGAACTTTCAGCTGAACACTATCACTACTCTAAAACAGTAATCAATGAAACATTGTGGTGGTGAATGATCTCAGGCAAATAAAAAAAGCTTAAAAACCAATACCGTAAGTATCGTATTGACGCAAAGCAGGGGCACCCAACGACGGTTTTCCGTAAAATATCTGTTCGGAGAAGCAAATATTGCGTAGAATTCTTTATTATTTGAGGACAGCTAAAAATTTCTAGATGACCGTTCCGTTCATGTACAATTTTCGGCAATTAATTCCCTACGATTTTCTGAAGTAAATTTAATTTTTCACATTTCACTTCTTAGGTTAAGCTATGTTTCGTAGAAAAAAGGAAACCTAAAATTATTTTCGGATTCAAAAGTGTGATGGAGACAGGATTCAGAAAAATTCTCACTTTCGTAATACGTTAAATTGAATCTAAAATTTTCGGGAAAATCATAAATAGGCCCTTGTAATTTCGAAAAGACTCAAGCACCCCTAGGATGTCCGAAGACAATGCATTTCTAGAGATCTAAAAGCACTCTGCTGGATAGCCTAAAAAGTGTTTTCACTGTATTTAGGAGGAAATCGTCGTTGGGTGCACCTAGCAAAGAGCGCTTAATTCCAGAGAACACTTACATCCCTTTTCTTAGCTTTGATATCTATTGGTATTTCATCACGTTCGTCAAGATCAGTGTATTTACAAAGTTTATCAAACCAAAGTAATACTCGTGTTCATGCAAGTGATTGAGCTTATTTGAAGCAAGCGTGAAGCCCACGATTGACGAGTGGCAGAAGTCATGTAGAACGAAAGAAGCCCTGACTAATCTGATAGGAGACGTAGGTTCAGAAGTATACAACTTTGACGTCTCCACTGTGAGGACGACTAACTGGTCCTGCCTATCCCTTCCCCCTTCTCCTTGTGCTCCGCGCTCAGGTCACGCTTCACCTTCGCCTGTAACGTATCAAAATGGCGCCTGCTTTAAAAAAGTACAATTATCACCTGTTCACTTTGCGGTCTCAGACAAGACCACTTCATTGAGATCCTGGGTATATACATTTATGTACAGCTGTGACAGTAGTGGTCAACTTAAACATGTTTCCTCTCAGTTTACAAGTTCTTTGTTTTCTTTGCACCTTCGCCATCTTTCAGACTGCTCTTATCAAATGCACCTGCAAATAGGAAAACTAATCATCACGATTCCCTTTCGTATGTATTCTTTGCACGATTTATTTTAGCCATCGATCAACATGCTTCTATTGCTCGTTGCGCTAAATGTTTTACCCAAATATCTCTAACACATTCAAAGTCAAACAAATAGCAAACCTTTACACTTTGAGGAAATTATTTATATGCTAAAAGTTTAGTAAAGTCGAATTGTATCACTTTCAGCTTAAATGCGATTCGTATAATTTTCGCACTGTATACCTATTACTAAGTTATGGGAGGCAACCGCGACTGCCAGGACAATAGGCATGCCGAATAATGAGGGTTAGCGACGTCAACCGCCACCAGGGGAGGTGGGAGAGGCGAAATTTCAAGTCATTTTCACTGACCTGCGTTAAACTAGCCAAGAGGCGGGCAAAAACTAAGCAATTCTAACCGAGGGCCGCAATGAATCATACTACCAGCGCGCAGACCCAACACGACAGAACTTACGGAGTTACTTAATTCCCGCGTCACGGGCCAATAATGTGTTTACTATGCGGTGAGAATATTTAACTTTATTTTAATTTCCTTCGTTTGCGGATTGCATACTGATCAGAATATATCTTGAAGCAGGAGATTGATATCAAGCCAATTAACCATGCGGATCCCTGGCAGCCCGAGCAACCCGTGCAATCCGAGCAGTTCGAGCAGCCCGAGAAGCCCGTGCAATGGTTGCCCAAAATATCGGCCATCTCCTCTGGTACAAAATCGCGACTACTAAAAGAACTATAGCGAAACGTATTGTAAAACCCAATTGAATCGAATGAAATACTTTCTTGGGGGCATAATAAATCTTGCGAAATCTCCGCGGAAAAAGCATCATATAAAAGAGGCTATTGATGACAAAAGCCCTCCTTTTGAGAATACAAGAAAACGACAAGGGAGTTGCCCTTAGCTCATTTGCCAAAAAATATCTCTATAAAAGAGAAGTTTCAAAATCAAATGCTCCTGTAGCTGCTTGGGCTAGATTAAGTGCCCAGGGAATCTTCCCGTCTGCATTTCAACTGTCGCCTAGCGGTAATTAGTACGTATACCCTCTGAGCTTTCTCTGGTTCCCTGAGACTGAATCTGTTTTAAGACTGAAAAATACATGCAGCGTTTTTATAGCCTGTTCCAGGCTCTCAGATAGTAGAGATGACGCGTTGAAAGGCGGGCAAAATATGAACGCGTAAACCTGAGGAAAGTGGGGCGGTGGCGTTTTATTTTCCTGTTCGCGCTTTCTCAATTTCGTGGACCAACTATCTCTGAGCCTGGAATAGTCAACGTTTTTTCTTTCATCAGGTACAACCTTAGGAAAAAGGTTGTTGGACTGCCACTTACTTCTCTTCTTTATGATTTGAATTGTTTTCGTATGCTCTTTTAAATCTCAGCTATCGTTTTCTACATTTTTATTTTAGTTAGTTATTTTAGATCCGAGCATGCATGCTTTACGAAATATTCCATGAAAATCGGAAAATAAAATTCGGTCTTCTCTCCAGTTGGCTCACTTTCATGAACGGAGTTGGAAAAAAACAATAAAGAAAGAAACTTAAAAACTCAGTATAACTCCCTTAATAAGATTTTTCAAATAATGCGTTGTCACGAACATTAATTTCACATATTTTGACTAAAAACAGCTAGAAAAACCTAAAAAATGATATCAAATACAAACCTTTGAATGTTACGTCATCTCCAATCAGCATAAAGGGTGCCCACTGCTTGACGTCAGAAAAGCGATTCTCTCTCATCGACTTCATGGCCTGATGAAGAGATTCACTGGCATTTTCACCATGAACAAGGTGCTCGTAAAAACGATCCATAAACCACATAGTAGCTTCGTCCTCTACAGCCCACAGTGCCGCCAACACGGCGCGTGCACCCGATGCTAGAAATGCTCGAGCGATTCCAACAATTCCCTCAGCCCTTATCTGACCACTTGCACTATGACAGCAGCTAAGGACAACCAGCTTGGCTGTTAGTCGAACTTGTGAAATTTCAGCCATCGTCAATAAGTAGTCTTCTTCGTGTGGAGTTCCGCAGGAGCTTACAGGGGAGAGAGCTATTTCTCCACGTTCAGCATAACCATGAGCAGCGAAGTGAATGAGACTTACTGAATGCATGCTTTCCAAGACTGCCTGCTTATTTGCATTCCTTCCAAGCAACGGTTGAACACCGAGCAATCGCCCAATCATCTCTGCTTCTTTTCTCGCCCAAGGCAGTGAGTTTAACTGTAGAAGTTTTCCTTGGTAGTATACATCACCAACGTCTGGCTCTCCTACGATCAGTGCACCGGTTTTACTATGATAGTCTACTGGACTGAGCTGAATCAACTTAAGAGTCGTCAAGGAAGGGACAATACGAATCCTGAAAGTATCCGATAAATACTTTCCATTATCATCTATTAAAGCAGCAAAAGGAATTGGATACAACAAGTTATCCGGTACAATAATGATTTCTGATTCTTGGAGTAAGTCAGCTACAGGAGCGACTATCATGTTGTAACCATCAGCAAGGGTTAAAGGTTTAGAGTGGTGATTTTCGTCTTGCTCTTCTTCTATAAGACGCAGAGATTCGAAGCTGTCACGCTGAGATGGTTTGCATGATGGCGGGGAGCTTACACATGAAAAAAATGATCGATCTTCGCATTGGTCTTGACGTAAATCAGGAGAGCCAGCAAATGTCTTATTTCCAAACACTTTATCTGCACTTTCTTTGAGTCTCGTTTGTCGAAAAACTGTCATTTTGTTTGGCTTGAGGATCCAAAAGAACATATCATCACCGGAGCAGTAAACATAAAGACAAGAACTAAGTGCATTTTTGTTCATGATGTTTTCAATACCAACCCATGACTGTGGGTTCACTGATACCTCTTTTTCCACAGAGTACTTATCTGACAGTACGTCTGTCAGTGCTCTGGACCGTCCAAGCTCGGTAACGTAAAGGGCTTCATGATAGTTACCTCTAGCAATCAACAACCTACAAAGAAGAAGGTAAGGGAACACATGCTCATCAAAAAAAGAAATTTTGAATTGATCTTTCACTCTTAAAAAATCATGCATTTCTTCGCACTTCTGAATGCTTTCATACAGATCTCGCCGTAGTTCATTTATGCTTCCTCCTGCCACTAACACGTTCAGAGCAATGGAAAGGTGGCTGTTAAACTGCATTTCAAAGTCCCCTATTTCGTAACTTATCTCAAGTGCTTTATTAGCATATTCTTGACTCTTCGCATGAAGCTGAAATTCTCGACAAAGTTTCCCCAGATTTAAGTATGAAGCTCCAACACTACGTTTGTCTCCGATTTCCTCGTAAATCGCCAGTGCTTTGTGAACGTATTCTTCTGCCTTGGTATATTGACCAACAGAAAACAACACAGTTCCTAAATTTCCGTAAGCAGTCGCTTCTCCTTGTTTGTCACCGATTTCTTTCTTGATCACTAGTGCTTTCTGAAGGTATTCTTCAGCCCTGGTATATTGACCAACAGAGAGGAACACAGTTCCTAGATTTCCGTAATCTGATGCTTCTCCTTCTTTGTCACCGATTTCTTTCGTGATCACTAGTGCTTTTTGGAGGTATTCTTCAGCCTTGGTATATTGACCAACAGATATGAAAACAGTTCCTAGATTTCCGTAATCTGACGCTTCTCCTTTCTTGCCACCGATTTCTTTCCTGATCCATAGTGATTTCTGAATGTATTCTTCAGCCTTGGTATATTGACCAACAGATTTAAACACAGCTCCTAGATTCCCGAAAGCATATGCTTCTCCTTGTTTGTCACCGATTTCTTTCCTGATCACTAGTGCTTTTTGAAGGTATTCTTCAGCCTTGGTATATTGACCAACAGATAGGAACACAGTACCTAGATTTCCGTAATCTGATGCTTCTCCTTCTTTGTCACCAATTTCTTTCCTGATCACTAGTGCTTTTTGAAAGTATTCTACAGCCTTGGTGTATTGACCAACAGATTTAAACACAGTTCCTAGATTTCCGTAAGAAGATGCTTCTCCTTGTTTGTCACCGATTTCTTTCCTGATCACCAGTGCTTTTTGAAGGTATTCTTCAGCTTTGGTATATTGACCAACAGATAGGAACACAGTACCTAGATTTCCGTAATCTGATGCTTCTCCTTCTTTGTCTCCAATTTCTTTCCTGATCACTAGTGCTTTTTGATGGTATTCTTCAGCCTTGGTATACTGACCAACAGATTTAAACACAGTTCCTAGATTTCCGTAATCTGATGCTTCTCCTTCTTTGTCACCAATTTCTTTCCTGATCACTAGTGCTTTTTGAATGTATTCTTCAGCCTTGGTGTATTGACCAACAGATAGGAACACAGGTCCTAGATTTCCATAAGCAGATGCTTCTCCTTTTTTGTCACCGATTACTTTCTTGATCACTAGTGCTTTTTGAAGGTATTCTTCAGCTTTGGTATATTGACCAACAGATAGGAACACAGTACCTAGATTTCCGTAATCTGATGCTTCTCCTTCTTTGTCTCCAATTTCTTTCCTGATCACTAGTGCTTTTTGAAAGTATTCTACAGCCTTGGTGTATTGACCAACAGATTTAAACACAGCTCCTAGATTTCCGTAAGAAGATGCTTCTCCTTGTTTGTCACCGATTTCTTTCCTGATCACTAGTGCTTTCTGAAGGTATTCTTCAGCCTTTTTATATTGACCAACAGATAGGAACACAGTTCCTAGATTTCCGTAGTCAGACGCTTCTCCTTGTTTGTCACTGATTTCTTTCCTGATCACTAGTGCTTTCTGAAGGTATTCTTCAGCCTTGGCATATTGACCAACAGATTGGAACACAACTCCTAGATTTCCATAAGTAGATGCTGCTCCTCTTTGGTCACCGATTACTTTCTGGATCCCTAGTGCTTTTTGAAGGTATTCTTCAGCCTTGGTATATTGACCAACAGATTGGAACACAACTCCTAGATTTCCGTAAGTAGATGCTTCTTCTTGTTTGTCACCGATTTTTTTGCTGATCACTAGTGCTTTTTGAAGGTATTCTTCAGCCTTGGTATATTGACCGACTGCGCGGAACACAGCTCCTAGATTTCCGTAACATATTACAACTCCATGATTGTTTTCAGTCTCAATCAGGATGCTGAGTGCCTTTTCGCAACAGTGTTTTGCTTCCTCGTATTTGCTTCTTTGATAGTAGATGTCGGCTAGTTTTAGTAATGTCATCCCTTCTTCTTCTTTTTGACCACTATTGTGTAGTGTCACGTGAAGCTTTTTACCACATTCTATTGCACGGGTGTGATCTTGCATAAGAGTATAGCCATTAAGAAGTTTATGGTATACATAGATAACAAATGGTGTGCTAAGTTCTTTAATTGTTTCTAGGGCTTTACCGTTAAGGAGTACCAAACATTCGTTAAAGATGTCCACTGCTTTTCTGATACGTCCATTGTTGAAAAGAAAATTTGCAACGACTGCACCAATATAAATGGTCTGTAGAAACTCCGAGATGTTGTCCATGACCCTTTTTTCTTGACCTTGAGAAAAAATTATTTCAAGAGTAAAAAAGTGGAAACACGATTCTTTAACTTTAACTTTAACGCGGACATACAGTTTACCAAGGAGAAAGAAGAAAATGGTAAGATACCTTTTCTAGACTGCTTGGTTACTCGCGACAACAACAAAGTAAAAACGACTATTTACGGAAAACCGACACATACCGACTGATTACTAGACCAGTCTTCGTACAACCCGACCTCGACGACCTCATTTCTTCATTTTCATTTCATTTCCGCTGTTCATATATGATTTATTTCATATATTATTAACACTCGGCTAATTGTCTTCATTTCAGACTAGGTATTCAAATGTTACATAACAGTTCATATATATACGGACACTTTCTATGGCCCCCTCAGTATCCGTATTAAAAGGGTTTGACTGTTTAGACTTTCAGGATTTGGCGGGGGAGGGGGGAAGGTGGGGCTCGGCCCACAAAAGTCGTGCCCTGTCACTTTCAACTTCGTTCCTTAACGGGCCTGTAAATTATGATCGACAATCGATCAAACTCCTTTCCAGACGCGGCAGCCTAGCTCTTTGTTCCTGAGTTGACCATAAAAAGAAAATGGTGTTCACGGCTATCCGAAGGCGAAAAAGCTGAATTGTTAACTAACTGAACAAAAGAAATGCAAGAATACGTTAAACGTATCGCTGAGGAGTATCTGCAAGGAAAACATATGTTATATCGCGAAATCATGCCGAGAAATAGGCCAAAGTTTTGAAGCAAGTCTTTGAGAAGGTAAGCTTGTTTATAACAAATCAGAAATATTTTAAATGACTAATACGGCAATTATTTAATTCGGCTTTCGGAAGATCTTGGACGATGTTATACACCTTGGCCGATAACATCCTCCCCAATCTGCAGAATTCTTCACATCCAACTCCTCCTCATTCAATAATTGCTAAATATTCATTATATTTATGTTTCATATACACCTTTCCGGGTACATTGCGAACCAATTAAATCACCAGCTCCCAGCTGGCTTGCTGTATCACCCATAAATGTAATAATCAACCATGAAAAGTAACTCTAACCATAAATGTAAGAAAAGTCAACCATAAATGCAATACCTAACGTAAATGTAATAAAAGTCAACCATAAATGTAATACCCAACGTAAATGTGATAAAAACTAACCGTAAATGTAGTAGGTTTAGAAAATCGTATGAATTCGATTTCACGAGCAATTTCAAATGGTTAACAATAATTTTGCCCGGTTGTCAGCCATTTTGTATGTGTTTTCATTTCACACTTTCTCGTTTTTTCCAAAGAAGCTTCGGTACTGCGTTGTATAGCCTCTATTGGCACTCTATTTAACAATTAATGAATGAGACTGAGTATCTTATGAAGAATTATGGAGATCGAGGAGGGTGTACGGCCTCGACGGATAACACCCTCCTCGATCTCCATAATTCTTCATATGATACGAAAGCCGAATTTAATACTTGTTTTATTATTCCTTCAAAATAATTCCTAGTTTAAAAACAAAGCTAAAACAATTGCTTACCTCTATCGATGTTAAGTTCACCTTCGATAGTGCACGTTTAGGGTTTTTCAGCTCCGCAAAAGTGCTCCAAATAGCAGATGTCGCCTTTCGAGTTGTCTTCTTGCTGTTCTTGCCATGTTTTTAGCTATAATTTCGCCTAGTTCTTACTCTTGAAACGAGTGAAATGTCCGCCAGTACTTGCCGTAGTACCCTATTTCTCTCAAGATAGTATTTGAAGCTCCCGGTGAAGCTTTCCGTTCTCGAAGCTTCGCCACTAATTTGCCCTTTCGCCAATGAGGCTATGAGATGAACTTGTGTGCAATATTCTCAAAGTTCCTGTTTTCGTCGGATGACTCTTCTTTATTCTAATCCGAAATTTTGACTTTCAAAAAGGAGTGCATTGCATTAAACAAAAAAAAAAATATCAATCTTTAAAAAAGACTATGCGAACATGGACAAACATGCTCTATGTAATGTTTAATAAACGAGCAGCAGCGTTTTATCGGTTTAAAATCACGAGCCGAAGGCGAGCGATTTTAGACCCTGTAAAACACTTGCTGCGAGTTTATTGAACGAGTTCAAAGGCATTTCTGGAAAAGCGTGTCTCCATGGAGTTGATAACAATGACGCTTTTGTGAACGTGGGAAATTAGCACACAAAAAAAATATTACATTTGATATATAGACATACAATAAAATCAAATCTCACACGCGTTAGAAGTGTTCCAGTCTACGAACGAAACTAACCGAAGCCGATACGGCGTTTTGTTCTAGAGCTTTTCGGAAGCCTAAAAATGCCGAGGAAGAGAGAAAGTTAATTGATAATGGTACCCCAGAGTCATCAAGTACAGTGAAAAAGTAGTCTTCGCAAAATTTTTTCTGGAATCACCGAATGGTAGGTAAACAAAAATCCAGTACTGGAGCCTTGCGTATTCACAACCAAAGTCTTGAGTGCAACGCTTGGACACTACCGTAACCAATATTACCCTTGAGTCACTGAACTTTTGGCTGATTAAAATGGTGAAAGAACAAAGTTTAATTTTGTCCAATGGTAAATTTACTGCGTGTATTATTTTGAAAGAACATTAAATATTCATCCAGCATTTCTTGTGTCAGTTGCTGTGCTGATAATTAATATTCATAGGTCACGTGCAGTGACTTAATATCTGATAAAACACCACATACCAGTTAAGGGGAGGTTATATCGATATAAAGTCACTGCGTGTGATGTATTATCGACTATTTGATAGGCCAGTAAGCTTATGCATTATTAATGAGTTTTTTAGGGATCACGCAACGCCCTCTAGCTTACTGGGTTAATGATTGATAGTGCTCATTTTTTGACGGAGAAAGCTACCCATTTTATTAACTTGGGCGTGCCTTGAGACAGCCCAGTTAACAAATGCTAGTGGGGATTGGGTCAATTGCTGGATGAGTTTTTTTTTTTTGACTTCGATATTCATACAGCCGTGTATTATCCCCTGAGAGGAGATGCGTATTCCAATTGAGTCTTTGAAACGGGCCGATGTAGTCTGAGACCAGAAAGAGATAGTTGGACTCGTTGGAACTATTAGCAAAGGGAGAATGTCGCATTAACGTGTTTATTGATTAACCTCTTGCTACTAGAGGATACGGTCCAAAGAAACTTATAAAATTAGAAGATATAGTTAAACAAATAATGCTGATATACATTGTATTCTAAACCGCAAGAAATTTAAAGAGAGATACAAGAGATCAAAGTTGGTCATGAAAAGAACAGAGAGAATCAACCAACTGCATATTAACCGGTAAACAAAACTTTGCATGAATAAAATTGAAAAGTAGGGAAAAAACCCGTCACTTTCTGTTCCTCAACCTGTAAAATGGATGAACGCAAAAGATTCACAACTATCAGTCAGAATAAATTACGTTTTTTGTACCTTCCGACATTTTAAGTTCAAAATATCGCTATGAAACCGTAAACCCAAACAAGGTTACATCCAACTCGCTGGACGTTAAACTAAATAGTTTGAATTAAGCGAGCAATGCTTTAATTTGCAATGCTTTAAAATAGCCATTCTCCTTGTATCAAGGGAACGTTCTCCAAATCTTTTGTTGACGAAGAGTCTGCCAGTATTTAGGCATCGCAACGAAAGAAATCTTAATTTGCCCAACCTCTGATCACCAACAAGAATTAGAAATCGTTTCACTTTCCGAGAAGAAGGAAAGCCGACAAACAACTCTCTCTTCTAATTTCCTGGTTGGCATCTGATCTCAAGAACTCAAGCTGAATATTCGAATCTTAAACTAGGAAATGTAAATGGCTAGACGAACGTACTTACAAAGAAATCTCTCTTAACAGAAGTACAGAAAGAAAAGTGAAAATTGAAGACTCTGGGACTGTCCCTGTATTCTAAGGAATAAAGCCCCTTATGTTAATGATTCCCGAAAAGAAACACCCTAGCCCTAGATATAACATACATGACGTGTCGCGAGGCAGCATGTCCTACTGATGAATTTTTATATCGTTTGGAACTTTCATACCAGCGGCACCCAACGCCCTTTTTTCTGTAAAATTTGTTGGAAGGAGCAAATATTGCCGAGAAATCTCGAAAATTGGGAAAGAAAGGCCTGTTCCCATATCCTCTATTTCCTCTTTTAATTAAGATCGTCGAGCGCGCGCATGAAAATAGAAATCGCAGGGATTTATTGACCGCAGGCAAATATTGCGAATATTGGAGGTTGACTTTTTTCAAATTTTGTTGCTAAGAAAAAACGACTATTGTTGAAAAAGGTTTTCTTAAATTTTTTGTATAACAAAAACGTCCACTAGAATCCTCTAATTAAAGTGTGAACAAACATAGGTTTTAGGGCAGCTCCTTGAAATTTACCAAACAGGCTTTCTTTACTGCTTAACGTATTCTGCTGCGCCTTCGTGACTACTGTGTTATCGCTTAAAAACCCGCGACTTTCCCTTAACAGGCAGTTTCAAATTATTAAAATTCATACTTGATTTCGAGGCAAAGGAGAAAATAACGAAATAAATGAATTGTCCATCATTGATTCTCAATGCGACATACTTCCTTTTGTTCTCCTCAACCTCTGAGCCAGTCATGAGTTTTAATGAATTTGACACTGGTCTAAAATGGGAGCCATAAGTGGACGTCATTTCATGAACCTTTCCCATAAAAGGCCCCTGGATGTGAATAATAATAATCTATTGAACGAAGTTGGGCAAAGTATTGTCATCTCTTAAGTGCTTAACAGATATGTTATTGAGAAATGATGCAATCAACGGGAAAGAGATAGTATAATAGAGTTACTGTAAAATTTGTTGGAAGGAGCAAATATTGCCTAGATATATCTAAAACCTAAGAAAGGCTAGCCTGTTTCCATATCCTCTCTTTTCTCTTTTAAGATCGTCGAGCGCGCGTATGAAAATAGAAATCGCGGGGATTTATTGACCGCAAGGGAATATTGGGAATTTTCCTTAAGGC